TTCTTCTGTTTCAAGGAACTCGGAAAGACACTGGTGGGTCAAATGCTTTTAGCGCTGTGGATTCCTGTTTGAAATCTCCAGAAGTATCTTGCGAGTCACGTTTGCACACCTAACAGTGCTAACGTTGCGGAGCCCAGAGGCACCTTGGTAGAGCCATAGTCCTCCTCCCTGTGGAAATCGGAGCGCTCCACTTAGAGCCAAGGTAGAGCTGGCAAGGCTCCTGCTGGAGTCGGAAGCACAGGGCGTCTTTTCTTTGTCCATCTTTGCTGTGTATCGGGCAGTTCGTAGGCTCGTAGAAGATGAAGGCTGGAAGGGACCTCGGGAGTCATCCAGTCCAGTCCCCTGCTCCAAGCAGGACCAGTCCCGACTACATCATCCCAGACAAGGCTTTGTCTACCCGGGTCTTCAACACCTCCCAAGGATGGAGACTGCACCACCTCTCTGGGGAGCCTGCTCCAGTGCTTCACCACCCTCCTGGTGAGAGGTTTTTCCTAATATCCTACCTCAACTTCCCTTGCTGCAGCTTGAGCCCATTGCTCCTTGTCCTGCCATCTGCCCCCACTGAGACCAGTTTTGCTCCAGTTCTTTGCACTCGCATCACTTTGTCTCCCTGCTGACTCTGCCACGGCTTATTCTGGAAGCCTGACCAAACTCCCCGGAGCTGGATGAGAAGCCTAACAAACATGGGTGGCCGGATGCTTTCGAGAAACCTGTTTGGCATCCCAGTGAACGAGCCCTTTCCTAGGGACTGTCCTCCCGCTATTCTGCTGCCTTGTGGTACCTGCTGGCTCTGCTCCAAACACTTATTTCGTCACTGAGCTCAACATCGCCATCAAGAGCAGCAGTGGTGTGCACTTACCTGTTACTAGGATCCAAGCTTCCCCTCCACTGCAGTCTGAGGTCGCCTGGACCCCTGCCTCAGTAGTGAAATTATATATCGCAGTGCTTGAAACCATGAACTCTGAGTACGTTTCTTTATCCCATTATATAATATATAACTATGTAGTTATATGTATTGTATATAATTGGGCCAAAGAAATGTACTCGGTGTGTGCATGCCCCCTCTCCCTCTCTGTAGATTTCGATGGAGAGCTTGATCTATCAAGCCATCTATAATAAATGTACAGGGAGCGGGCTATTATTGGGATAAAGAAATGTACTCGGAGCGTGTCTTCTGCACTGTAACTGTGACTGAGGCCCGTTCTTGTCTCCCGTTTCGTACGCCCCTTCCTTCCCTGAGCTGCCAGTGCTTTTGTTCACGGGGCAGCTGCAGGCAGATGTGGTCAGGCCTGACCACAGCCTGGATGCCAGGCTGTGGACTTGGGTCCCTGCCGTGCCTTTCTCGCAGGGGTACGCAGACACCAGGGGTGTTCAGCACAACCACTGGGCAGCACTGGCCTTGTGTGAAGTGGCCCCACGGCTGCCTCCTGCCTGCAGCCTGGTCTCCTTCAAATGCTTTCCAGCAAGGGCGACTTCTGTCTCCTTTTCATACATCTGTCTCCTTTTCATACATTGCCATCTGCTAGGAGTTATGTGCTTGGCTTTGGCAGATCCTCCTCCTCTCCCTGCTCGGGTGAGATGGGCCCGTGGCAGCGCAGCTGGGGACCGCAGGAAAGTCGCTTTCCCCATTTTTCGTGCACTGCTCCAAGCTGTAGGGCAGCGGGCATAGAGCTAGGCTCAGGCAAGTAAAGCGGGACTCCTGGAGATGCCAGGCAGAGGAAGACCCAGGCCACTCCTGGATCCTGTCACTCGGACGACACTGGGTCTTGGCAGCTCTCCTCTCCCGCCAGTGCCTGGCCTGGGCAGACGAGTCGAATGCCGGATGCTCCATTTGACTGAGGGTCACATCCTGTCCATGCTCCCTGATGGAGCTGGCAGGCCCCATGTCACTGACCTCTGACTTTATGGCTTACCACGATGGGGCAGGGCGGGGTGTTTGCGATGGGCCCCTCGCACGCTCGCCCTGGGGCTAGCCTGGATTGCAGCATCTGCTCGCCATGCCCAGACGCTAATGATCATCTCGGCGAGAATCTGGACGGGAGCGTTTCAGCGCGTGAACGGGGCGGGGGGCGGCGTCTGGCAGAGGTACAAGGGCAGGCCGGGTATAAAGAATAAATGCTGCTTCTTTAAAACAAACGCAGTGACTTATTTTGTAGTCGGTTGCTGCCTCTTTAGACCAGTAGGTCTCGTGAGGCCACGGTACGTGGTCCCTGGATCACCCCAGGCCCCACACGCCTGCCCAAGCAGGACGGGCTACATCCGAGGAGCTCAGCGCTGCTTGGCAAACCAAAGGTTGCTCCCAGTGCATCCTGCCTGGAAGCTGGGAAGGTGCCGCCAGGAGCTCTGGGAGCGGGATCCCGGTACCGCATCTGGAACGCCGGGGGAAGAAGTGAATCGATTCAGGACCGAGACTCGAGCTGGCACCCCCAGCGGGGCTGGGCGGCTGTATTGCAGAGACCCAGCACCCCCTCAGCCCACGGGCTTGCTGAAGGTGGCGGCCTTCTGCCAGCCCGGTGAAGGGATGTGACCACCCCCAATTGGGCTGGCTGCTCTCGCCCTGGGTTACTTCCTTCTGGAGCAGGCCACAGTTGGAGCAGCACCCTACGGCCTGGCTCTGCTGCAAGGGCCTGACCCCTCTCTCTCTCTCTCTCCTTTGTTCCAGGACTATCCTGCTGAGCGTAATCTCCCTGCTTAACGAGCCCAACACCTTCTCTCCAGCCAACGTGGACGCGTCCGTCATGTTCAGGAAATGGAGGGACAGCAAAGGGAAGGACAAGGAGTATGCAGAAATCATTAGGTAACGGCTGCTTGGGGCAGGCGGCTCCCCCATCTCCCACCTCTCGATCGCAGCATTCCCGTGTCGGATGCCTGGCGCTCCCCTGCATGGGGAAGTCTCCTGAAGCCGGTCCCAGCTTCTCCTGCAGGCTTGGACATGGTGTGAGGGGGGGCGGTGGGGCCTCACCCGGCTCTGCCGTGGCAGTGGCATGGTCAGACATGCCCGCCCGCTCGCACGTCCCCAGCTGCTGTGCTGCCCCCTTGTACCCGTCCTGCAAGGCAAGGCAAGCAGTGCAGACTGGCTTCCTTATTACCCAGTGCCCCAGCCGGAGGCACTGGCGGGAGCCAGCTGCTTGGTGCCTCCCGGGCGGGCTGTACGCTACGACCTGCCCCGGCAGCGAGCTGTAGCGGATGACTTGGGGCAGCACATCACGCGGGGCAGAGATCGGGAATCCCAGCTTCGGCTGAGCGCCGAGCACTTCTGCTTGGGGTTCACAGGCCCCAGGGTCAGGTCCTGCGTGAAGCCACAGAGCTGTGTTGGCTTTGCCAGGCCCCGGGGAAGGTCCCAGCGAAGCCCATGCAGGTGGAGCCGACCGTGGGGCCTGGAGTCCAGCAGTCCTGCCCTGGCACCAGTTCGTGTCCTGAGCCAGCGCTCGAAGGGCTTCCCTGCCCGTGAGCCACTGACCAGAGAGGCCTGTTCGCCCCTGAATATCCAAACCCCGTGTTCACACTGTTTTCTGCCCCCCCTTCCCACAGGAAACAGGTGTTGGCCACCAAGGCGGAGGCGGAGAAGGATGGCGTGAAGGTCCCCACGACGCTGGCAGAGTACTGCATCAAAACTAAAGTGCCTTCCAACGACAACAGCTCGGATCTGCTCTACGACGACTTGTACGACGACGACATCGACGACGAGGACGAAGAGGAAGAAGACGCCGACTGTTACGACGACGACGACTCCGGCAACGAGGAGTCGTGACCTGCTCCCTCCGTGCCCCTGTACTGCCCTGTCCACTCAGGCCAGAAGGGAGCAGCGGGAACCTTGCAGCAGTCCAGCAAAAAAAAAAAAGAAAAAAAAAAAAGAAAAAAAAGAAATACATTGCGGGGGGAATTGAGAAACTTTGTCTCCTGCTGTCTCCCAGCGTCTGGACCTGTTGGCTCCTTTTTTTTATGGACCTCGTAGAGACCCTCCGCAGAGTGTCCAAGTCCGCATCCTTAGCCCCAGCATCACTGTCTTATGATTTTTTTTCTTTAAAAAAAACAAAACAAAAAAACAAACAAACCCCCCCCTCCCCTTGCCCTTCACTTCTCTACGAACCATTGACGGCGACAGACAGGTTTGCTCTGCGTTTAGGTCCTTGAATTAAACAGTCTTGCCTTGAGATGTTTCATGTATTTAAAGCTGGAACGAGCCCGTTGGAAGCTGGGCCTTGGGGAGTTCGCAAGCGGTGCGTTGACCAGGAAGGGGGAACCAGCGACGAAACCCCAAAAGCAAAGGCAAAAGCAACCAACCCACGCGAAGTAAATTGCCAAGGTCCAGCTGCTCCGTTCCAGTCCTAGCGCGTGCGCATTCGTTTAGCCTGTGGTGGTGGTGGTTTTTCCTCTCTAAGGTGTGGGACGGAGCGGGGGCCGCTGCGCGCGGAGCGCGGCGCCGTCACTGGAAGGTACAGTATTCCTCTTCGGCTGGCTCCGCTAGGGAGCGCCAGCCCTGGGCCCTGCTCCCGGAGGGCCCAATCAGCTTTGTCTCGTAAAGGCTTGTGATATGAACCCTCAAATAAACACGTAACACTTCGCCTCTGTGCACCTGAGCCCTGGGCTGCTCTTTATTTTCCAGACTGGTTTGCCGTAGGGACTTGGTCTGCGCCCCACCTCGCCGCGCTGCTGCTGAGACCTGCTCCCGTGGCCCTGCCGGAGGCCCCTACGGCAGCAGGTCTGAGCAGCCAGCGTCGGCCCACGGGATGTGCTCGGGGTTTAGTGCCTGCAGTTTTCAACGCCCCCTGCTCGGAGCTGCCCGGTGCCCGTTTCTGCTGCCCAGTAACGGTCCTGGTACGGCAGGTGGGGGCCGGGGGTCTCCGTGCACGGGGAAGGCCGAGCTGGCAGGCGTCTGGCTTGTGCCGTAGCTCCCGGGGGCTCTTGCCGAAAGGTTCCTCAGGCTGAGGGGGGAAATTCCCAAACGCTTCCAGCAAAAAGCCATCTCCCAGCTACCACTGCCCAGCTGCAGCAGCTGTCCTGGGTCCCTGGTGCTGCTCTCATGCAGCGTGTCCTTGCCCGCTTGCCATGGGCAGAGCTCTCAGGGGAACAGGCGGCCAGCTTCCACCTGCAGGGCCCCGGCTCCCCGACGGGCTGGGGGAGCTCGGGGAGACGCTCCGAGTGGCCCTGGGGTGAGCAGGGGCTGCCAGTGCCTCCTGCTGCCCCTTGCACCCCTGGGTTGGGCTCAGTCGAACCTGCGCCCGCCCAGGGGCGGGGGCAGGTCGGGTGCCCTCACTGCTGCAAGCAAAGACTCGGCTGGTAGCCTCTCTCTGATGAGACCGTAGGGCTGTCCCAAGGCATGTGGCTGCCATAGCCTCCCCCAGAGCCAAGCTCTGGGCTCGAGGCCCCTTCCTCTCCCTTCCAGCAATGAGGGACCTGCCCCCACCTGCTTCGGGCAGAGATGGCCCACCAGCAGCCGCACCACAGGGGTGCACTCGCTCCTTAAAAACGAATGGGCAGAGCAGGGTTGCAGTGGGAGCGCAAGGGAGGCTTCCCTAGGACAGGAGCTGCAGCCCTCCAGGCCACGCGGGGGGCTGATGGCAGCAGAGGGGGAGGACACGGGCTGAGGTGGGATGGAAACGGCCAGGTGAGCGCGACTCCGGGGACGCGGCCCTCGTGGCTGGAAGCGAGAATACTGCATCTCCCAGGCGCTCGCCCTCGGCCGGCTGCGCTGCCCGCTCGCCCGTGCCTTGTACCTTCGCGCTCGGTGTTATGAGCTGCGTTATCCCGGTTCTGTTCCCCTTTCGTTTCAGTGAAACGAGTCCCGGAGCGCCCGTGTCGCCGCCTGACTTCTTGCCCCGGCCATGTCGTTGCTTGTCGACTTGCTGGGTTCAGTTTGCTTGCTTGCTTTTTTTTTTTGGTTTGTTTTTTTTTTTTTCTTTTCTCTGTTGAGCTGCGAACAACTGCAATTAGACTTGGAAACTCTGTAAGAGCTGGAGGAAGACGTGTTTCCCCGACCCCTGTATTGTTCTCTCGCCTCGCCTCGCCTCGCCTCGCCTGGCCCGACCTACGTCGACGTTGCCACGCACGGCTCCAACGGACTGATGCAGGCCTCGACCATCCTGAAAGCCAGCCGGCCGCACGAGATTTCTTGGTAGTTTTCTTAGCTAAACTCCCAGGTGGTTTTTTGGTTTTTTGTTTTTTTGTTTCGTCCCTTTTTTCCTTAAGGATCATTTTACCAGAAAGGATTAATTGCTGCATTTTGTGTTGTCTTCCCCCTCCGGTAGTTTCTTTTGTCTTTTTTCTGCACCTGTCGACTAATAACATGTGAAATAAAGCTCCCTGTATTGGTACGGCCCTGGCACTCGGGTCCCGTTATTTACTTGCAGGTTGAAGTGTGGAGCAGCTCCCCCTCTTCCAGGGGTCCTGGATGCCCAACCCGTGCTCAGGAGCTTATGGGCTCCAGGAGCCTACCTGGATCATTCATGGGGGCAGGAGCCCAGCCCGGAGAAGTGTTGGTGCATCCATTCGCAGAGGTGCTGGAGAGATTGAGCTCGCTCAGTGGTCGTCCTCTTGCAACAAGTGTGAGAGGACCTGAGATAACGGGGAGTCGCAGAAGAGAAGCGTCCTCCAAGAGCTCAGATGCAAGGTTCAGGTTTTGGTCTGGTTTGGACTAAAGGCTGCTCGCTTGCCTCCTCTCTACAGTCTTACTAAAGCAACGGCGGGATGCTTGGGAGTATTTGGAGAACAAGACGTAGCCAGAGCAGAAGGGGCTGTAAGTACCTCTGCTGCCACGCAAGAGAAAGGGTGGTCTTGTTCCCAAAGGCTGGTCCGCAGTAGTCTTAACTGGTTCGGCCTCTCCTTAAAAACTCCCAGCTCCAGGCTGTTCCTGCGGAGC